CAAAAGCTCTTGAAAAGTAGATACAAAATTATCCACAACTATTTAATCATTTACAGTAATCTAATGTAAAATTATAGCAATAAAAGGAATGATTCTTGACACTAAAAAGTCACCCAATGGGCAGCTTTACTGCCAATAAACAACCTCATTGAACTTTCGCTTTTCTCAATGCCATCTTATCGACCACCCCCTAGATTCCAAAGGTGTCATCCTAGAAGTGATTGAGACAGTCTCCGTTTCGTTGAACGATTGGTACGAGTGTGCTTCAAATTTCGAGTTCACTGAGCCATCTCCAGCAGCTGAGTCAGGAGTAGGAGCAGAGTTTTCTCATTAGCAGGCGGTCAGAGATTTTTGAATATTATTAACCCATCCTCCCATGATGCGGGGGCGTTGGCTATTGTCTGCCCGGGGTGTCGGTTGTTGGGTGTTGGGGTGGTTAGACTGGCCAGTGGTCACCACCTGACCTTTCTAATTGTTTGGCTTTGTGACCTTTTATGTTGGGTTTTTTTTTTGTTGTTCTCTCGACTGAAAGGTGTCAAAAGCATTTGCTGCTGCTGGAATTCATTTACCGCCCAGACACGTGCGTTTGCTTTGATGAGAACTTCTCCTCCTTTTCGGTCACATATGACCGCTGTGCCTTTGTCAACAGTTGCCTTTTAATTTCTCTTCATTTATATTAAAATAAAAAACGCGGAAAGCTCCCCACCACAATCTCTCACTGTATCTTTCTCTAATTGTTGTCCAAGAGCGCCCGCGACACACCCATCTATGCCGCACGTGACCCTCCGGAAAATGCCAAATGCCATGGCGGATATTGACATTTGTTTTATTTCCATTTCCGTCAGAGGTCAAAGGCAGATCCTGGGTTTGGGGCACATGCAATATTTCATTTTCACATTCTTTTTTTTTGTTTTGTTGTCACTGTCCATAACTCGACTCAAATGTGGCATGAAATGATGGCATAAATACAAATTATCCGCCCCAAAATGGAATAAAAATAAAACACTTGCTATATCTAATGGCATTTATTAATCCAATTGCATTTGCCTGGTGGCACTGGGTGGCCTGGCTCTGGGTATTCCTGGAGTGGAGTAGCGTGGAGTGGGGGGCATGGTCAGGGCAGAGACCAAGAACCTAATAACATTAACGACCACCATCAGCAAAGGAGAGATGAGAAAACATTTTGCAAATCTAATGAGCCTCGACGGCATAAAAAAAGACGCGCTCAGACGAAATTAAAAATAAAACGACAACCAGAAAAAGGCAACAGACGTTGAAGGCAGGGCATAAAGCAGCGCCCGCCCCCGAGAAGGCCAGAAATTGACAGCATTCTCGGTGTTGGGTCGCGGGTCATGAGCCAAGACTGGACCCCGAACGAGGGTGCAAAATCAAGAATTAATACGTCTTAATGGTCTGCGTCTTTATGAACTCGAACTGTCCTCTAACCCCTAGATGGGGGGGATGATGACTCCCCGGCACGGGATTTCCTCTGCTGTTTCTGGCATCTTTTCGTGCGCATTTTTCTCTCTGGTCTGTTCTGTGATTTCGCCTTCTCACCCAGGGCCGCCTGGTTTAGTTAATTTTCATGTAAATTAAGCAATCAAATGTTGGGCTCTAATGTTTCAATTAACGCATTTTGTGTCTCTAAATTAATTTCAATTTAGCGCAATTTTTGGGAATTTCTTGAACGAAATTTGGGTCTGCCTTGGGCTTGTTTGCTCTTTAGGATTGGGCAAAGAAAGTCATAGAAGAATAATCATCGTTAATAGAATGTTCGGGAACTGTTTTAGCATAACCATACCTGTTAGTACTTCTAGTTAGAGCTTTCGAAGACATAAAAGCATCACATAGATAAAATTCAATCTATTACCGCCTCTAAAATGGCCAATTCCGGCTATGGTCTGTAATTCCAACATCTTTAGCAGTAATTTTCCTGTTAATGAAGCAATTAACGCTGCGAAACATTTATTTTAATTTCAATTTGAACTTTGACAATCTGCTGCCAGCCCACACTGCCTGAGTCTCCCCCCCAAATGGAGCTGCCTTACGGCTTCTGTTTGCTGCTGCCTCGACTGCAATTAACATATTTGCGCTTGAGTACGAGTACGAGTCCCCTAAACCAATACATACTCCGACAAAGCAAAGCAAAGCCATAGTCGAGTCGAGTCGAGTCGTGGGCCCACTTATCTGACAATCAACAGTTGTGTGTGTATGTTTGCGTCCCAAAAAATAACCTGAGGGCAGCAGAGCAGCAGCAGCAGTGGCAGCAGCTCGAAAAAAAAAAAATGTTGTAGGCGTGTCCAGGTACAGGCCGAAGTAAGAAATTTGCAACTGCAGAAGCCAAGTGCAGTGGCTGCCACTGGGATCGGAGCCTGCTCCACCCACTTTTTGTGCTAGGCAGTGGCTCCTACTACACCCTCTCTATGGCAGAGGTAGTAGTAAAAATTTTCGGGTATCTAGCAGGGGATCTGAGAGTGGGCAGGGTCTGACTGGGGGGAATCGCACTGAGACTGAGACGAAGACTGGGGACTCCTGACTGGGGAGACTGCGACTCCAGCTGAGGCAAGTTTGCATGCCAAGAGAGCAAACAAGTTGGGCCTCACTTGATTTACAACAGTCGCCACTTGGTAAGTGCTGAGTTATGGCCCGATCTCTGGCTCTGGCTATGGCTCAGGCTATGGCTCTGGCTCTGGGGACCGTGTGTGTGTGTGTGTGTGGGCGTCAATTACCAGCTCATAAATTTCAATCGATTTGCCAACTATTTTTACTCTACTCTCCGCCTTTTCTATGCCACCCAGCATTAGCCTTTTTCTAATTGTTTATTAATCAACTCATTAACTGGTCGTTTTTGGGTGTTTTTTTGTTGGTTTATTTTTCTCTCCACTTCGATCATTTTAATTAATTTTTGCAATGTATTTTCCAATTGCATTTTTGATTAGTTTTGTTGATTTGATTTGAGTAGGTATATTTGCACAAACAATCAACAAAATACTCGTAATTAAATGCATTCAAGCATTTTTAATTGTTATTTGCGCTAATTTCGATGCTTAGGCAGTGGGTGGGTTAGGCATTATGCACTGCGATTTGTCAGAGGGCGTGACTTTGTTAAATATTATAAATTATTGATACGTTTGTGTCGGCATTGGGCGGTCGAGTCGATTGTCCTTTGGGCAATTTGCACAACTAAGGGTTAAGTGGGGGGTAGTGTCTACAGCTTGATATGAGGTGTGTGTAACTTTGACCGTGATGGGAATTGTTAAGTTAGAATGGTATAGTTCGACATATTCGCTTATTTTCGGCATTAAATTTTTTATTTAAGTGTATACTGAACAGAGTTTTAAATAGTTTACAATTTGTTATCTCCCCATACACAACTGCCAACCATTTATCAAAACAAAACATGTCTCAATGCATTCCTTGGCTTAGAAAAAATGCCACCTCAATGGCATTTGAAATATCCAGCGACAGAGAGACAACCTGGTGACAACCCAATCACAACCACATCCACATCCACAGAGTGTGCCCATTCCATGTGCTGTTTCGCTCTGTCTGTTAGATCTGACTGCATATTTTGTTTGACATCATTGTTGCACATGCCACGTGCTGCTGGTTGCACCTGCAGCAGTCCACTCCGCGCCGACAAACGCCCCAAAAAGGCGGCTACATGCAAAAAATTGCAACCAGCTGCATGTGCGTGCATAAATTTGTGGCAGCTACTGCTGCTGCTGCTGTTGTTGTTTGCAACAAGCAATGAAGACATGACATCCACAGAGAAAGAGAACACCTTTTTCTGCAGTTGCAACGTTGCGGCTGGCCTTCAGCTGTCCCTTGAGTTGCTGTTGCACGAAGTGCTATCAAGCGGCGGTATTTTACTCCAGAGTATATGTATAAATACTCTGCCAGTCACAATATTTCCATTGATTTCCACGTGCACCACTAATAGCTAAAAATGTCAAAAGTATTTTGGCTTTCATCGGTGGAAAATAATTCCTGTAATATCAGCCGTACTTCTGCTTACTCCTCCTTACCACCAAACTCCCTCTAATTAACTGCAGTGTGCTATCGACCTGGTAATAAATCCAAATAAATAACTTACGACAAATGTTGTCTCGGCCTTTGTTTGAGCAACAATGCAGCCAGCAACACTAGCCACAATTATGTGTGTGTGTGCCAGGCACAAGCCGCCTGCGAAGCACCAAGGAGGAACTCAAACAATAGTTGAATGTGTTCCAGAACATTTCATGGTTCCCCATATAAAGTCTGACAGCCAGTCAGAAGCAAACAGACCCACAGCTACGAGACAGCACCAGTCACGAGGAGAACAAACACTTCTTGTGTAGGAGCGGGAGCCAAAAAGGATATCGCGTGCCAGCAAAAAATCACCATGTAAACACACACATCACCCATACAAAAGGCGCAACTCTGGAGAAAGCTTTCAGCCTAGCACCCTCTATTCCATCTCTGTGTATACATGGGTATCTCTCTCCCTATGCCATGTACACACACATGGAATCCTGTCCTGTCCTGCTCTGTCCTCTTCTCTGTGTGTTTCCTCCTGTTGTGCTCAGCTTTTGTTTTATTTTATTGTGATTTTTATGTTAGTCGTTTTGTTTTGGCATTTTTTGGCAAATATTAGTTCCATTCCGTAGCTATTGTCGTGGTTGTTCTGTTGTTGTTGTTGTTCTTGCATGGCAAATGGAATGCTATTGTATTACGTTTAGTTTTCTGGGGGGGCTAATAGCACATAAAATACTCGTATACTCGTATACAGAAATATCATAGAACTGCGTGAGATATTTGATAGTTGCGTGCAGTTTGGGGAGCTTTTATTTTTCTTTTTTGGTATGTGAATCTGAATCATGGACTGTAAATAATATCCAATATATATATATAAAAATTTTGTTTTCTTAAGACTCTCCACTTTGTGCATTTTTAAAGTTCTTCCTAATTATATAACTCTTCTTTAAAGATCCAAATAAATTAACTCACTTCCACAGCGCTTTATGCTTAGCCTATTTTGTTTTTAGTTTATTGTGTCAATTGAGTTTTTCTTTGAATACATATAATCATTTTCATTAAATCATAAACTACTCGTATTGTACTTAGCATTGATGCATAATATCAGAGTCCTGCAGCTCCTGCGAGGTTAGTCTTCCGAATAATCTGCAAGAGAAAGAGATTTTCAATTTAGATAGGTTTGGGCAGGCTTGTTGAGTCAATTATAATTTAAGCCGCTTTGGCTGGCCAGACCCCACTCACACAGTGAGGCAGACACAATAATTACTCAACATTTATATTAACTTTAATTGCACATACAACATAGTATGGGGGGCACCACGAATAGGGGAATGCATCAAATATGTATGGAATATGTAAAGTATTTTATGATTTATGCAAGACCCTCCCCATACTCTCCCCAGGTCCAAGACAAGAAACAAAATCAACAAATCATTTTTCTGGCCAACGCTGACAGCTGCAATTTTTCACTGCTACGGCTACGGCTACACAGCCTACACGGCAGAGTCATGCAACATTTAGCAGTAAAGTCCAGTTGCAGTGCCGGGCCAACTTTAAAGACCTCTACCCTACCTATGCGGAAACCAACCCCAAAACTGCAGAATCCCCCCAAAGTCCATGCCCAAGACACAAACTGAACCCAAAACCAAATCAATTAAATTCAATTAAATTCGAAAAACCACAAGCCAAGTGCATATCGTCTTTGGTCCCCCCCATGGGTTTGGCGCTTAACCTTATCCGTCCAGTGCAAGTGCACAAGTGCACAACGGATCCATTGTTATGCCTATGGCTTGGGGGCTCAGGCTCGAACTGCTCTCGGGGCTGGGGCTGGGGCTCTGGTCCCATCTCAGAGCTTATCTGTCAATCGTATCCTAATTGAAATGCATACACAACGCACACACACACACAGACACAGACACACACAATGCATCCGACTTGGACTCCCATTGCAGGACCTCCGCCTTGGAGTCAGACACCCACCCACTACGACTGGAGTTTCGTTTCACAAATTGACTTTTACGCATCAACAATTGAAATTTTCCCCAGATTTGAATGAGTTGCAATATGAGCTCCATCTTCTTTGAGTGTATCATGCCCCCTGGAGGCAAAATCAACAAGTTAACTGCATTGCTGGCACTTTGGTTTGGGCCTGTCATTCAAATTGATTTGGATTTTGACCAGCCATGGCCGCAGGCCTGAGCATTCTGTGTTTGGTTTCTCACTGTCACAAGTCTTGACTTGTGAGAAGACAGTGGAGGAGTGTGGAGTATTTGCATTTGATTGGGTCACTCAAAATGGGAATGAAAAGAGAAGTTACTGAGCTCCAAGCTATGCTGGGCTAATACAGAGAAAATTGAGAAAAATAAATCTTAAATTGAGGAACAGTCTGTCTGAATAAAGAAAAAGTAGGTCAAAAGTGAAATACGATTATTTTCGCAAATTTTCGTCAAATCCCATTTGATATGGAACTCTTTATTTCTAATCTAACAAGTCCGCGCACCATTCAAGCCAAGAATTGAAGGTAATTTATTTGTATATTCAAAACCCGTTTTATTAAATAAATTACTCATGAAACTCAGGACTTTCATCTATGAGCCCTTAAATACTTGTCATTCTTTTGACTCATAGTCGAAATACATTTTTGCAATTTTATGCATAATATTTTTATAAGCCTTCAGCTATCTTTCAGGTGTCCCTCCATCTCCTGCTACTCTTTTCCTTTTTCTCTTAATTAATTAAAAAGTTGCGTCACCTTTTTTGGGGTTTTCGGTTTTGGTTTCTGTTCTCTCTTTTGAAGCAAAAAAATGTGCGCAATTTTTATTTCGCACATGTGAAATTAGCGCCGGAGCTGCTGCTGTGTTTTTTGTGCCATGTCTTGTTAAAATATTTGCAAATATTTAAATTGACATTTTTCCGTCATGTTATGACTATGAACAATGTCAATTTTCGGCTGGGTAGCCATAGCCGCGGCTTGGCCCTCAAGGCATCACAGGTTTTTCTGCTGTGTTCTGCTCTGGTGTTTTTTTTTCCCAAAGTTTGCTCTTGTTTTGGCAGTTTAAAATTCCAGCGAGGGAACTCTTTAAGTTGCATTTGCAAAATGCTTCAATATGCACTGCTGCGCTGCTTTGCTGCTCTGTTCTTCAGAGCAACAACTAATCAAAACAAATTCAATTAAACGACACAACCATCGGACGCTAAGTCAGCCAAAGTCGAACCAGAGGGTCCAGGTCCACTGTCCACTGTGGAGTGTGGAGTGTCCATCGCCAGGCACCCTCCTTTGGTCAGCTTATCTGGCAGCACAATCCATTAAAATTGCACATCGTTTACACCAAAAATCAATTCGCCAAAGCATTTAGGCATTACAAATGCCAAGCCAGCCACTGAAGCTAGTCCAGTCCACTCCAGTCGAGTCGAGTTGAGTTGAGTCCACTCCTGGACAGGCCACTCCACTCCACTACAGAGTCGTGGACCCAGTCCCAGTGCCAGTCGCTGTCGCTGTCGCAGTCGCAAGCCCAGGTCCAGAGGTTTTCGGGGTCCCGCTTCAAATTCAACGTTGATGCCCATAAATTTCACATACGGCTCTTTCTCTGCATTTGCCTCTGTCTCTCGTGGGTTTGTTTGTTTTGCTGCCTCTTTGGGTATGGCTATGGCTGTGGCTATGGCTCCTCTGTCCGAATGTCGACTGTCTGTCTGTGGGGCTACCAAGCGATAAACGCAGCCCAGTTGGCATTGCTTTGAAATGTATCCGCCAGATACGAGTAGTACAAAAGCTGCATTTGTGGAGCGGCGGCGGCGGCCCAGAGGCCTCAGGTCCCTCTGTGAGCTATGTTAGCCGGCCGCTGGTCGTGTGTCGCCTTTTAGAGAGGAGTCCATAAAGGTTGTTATTGGTGTGGTGTGGGCTTATGAGAAATTAGTCGGGATCAAAGGGGTTTTGCTAAGGGCACTAAATTAGCTAGAATTTAGAGTATATATTGGTAGGAAAGTGCTCGTGAGCTGTAACTTCTTTGCTTTCTATTACAAGCAATTCTGACCGCAATATTGTATCATTTTCAATAGGAAATAGAGCAGACTGCTAGTCAACCCATTCTAAAATTAAGTCCACTTTATTGAAATCTTGCAGTCAAATATCGCTCACTTCCAGCACAAGATGCCACCATCTCTAGAACCCCATTCGCCTTGTCCTTGTCCTTGTGCCTGGCCCTGTCAGTGTCACCTCACGCCCCGACAAATTATGTCTATCGGAAACACAGAAAGCTAAAAAAGTAAACCCAAATCGAATGCCGTGTATCTGGGGAGGCGATCGTTGGTGGCTTGGTGCTCAGGCGAGTCGAGTGGTTCGGTGGTTCGGTGGTTCGATGCAGTGGTGTCAGTTTGTCGTGCGTTTTATTAGTGGCAACTCAAACAGCAAATTGAGATTAGAATGTCGTCGCTGCCGCCGTGGAGGCCATGAGTTATGGCCTGCATTAAAGCGCATCCAAAAGTGGGGAATTGAAGAAGGCTAAAAAAAAAACGGGTTGGTAACACCCATTAGTAGGTGACAGTTGAAGGAAAGGTGAAGGCAGGATCTAAAGGAACGTAGACCCCCAAGACCCTAAAGACTATTTACATCTTAGGAAAGCCACCTTAAGGCTGGCAGTTCTTTTCTAGACATCTCCCTAAGCCACTCAGATGATTCACAGCAGAATATCCCCTCAATTGGATTACTCTAAACATTCATTTAAAACACTTAGAGCTCCTTGGGGTTCCGATTATCCCAACCCTAAACACTCTTCAGCGCTTATCCTAAGTGTATTCCATTTCTTGCCATTTACATTTGATTGCTTCTCAATCTACTTTCATCTCGGGCAACGGGGCAGCCCACAGATATCACATGTCAAGCATGTAATATCCTTGACATTTATGAGTTGTCATCACTGTGGGACCCCAGTGTACCCTCTCGAGTACGAATATGTTAGGGCAAACAATCACAAATGTCAAATATGATTTGCATAACATACAAATATTATAAAATCAGAGGGGAACAGATTCCCTCCCGGGGCTGTTGCTTCTGTCAGTTGGTATTTCTGTCACTTTTTTCTATCACAAATGATAGCAATCTAAAATCATCTGAACTCGCTTTCGTTCCTCTCTCTCACGCTGTTCCCCCATGACCCGCATAATTCACTTGCTTTGCCTCATTCCTCCTGACAAAAAAAGGGAGTACAACTGCAACTGTCTGACTTTCACTTAGAATCCCGGAATGGTGGCCAAGAGGAAGACAACATTAGGCCTTATTAGATTTGACATGTTGCTCCCGGTGCTGCTGCTGCCGCTGCCGCTGCCGGAAACAAAACAAAAAAGTTTTTCTTTCATTTTGCGTGGCTGGCATAACCCACCCCTGGCTACAAATCAAAAGATAAATTGTTTTCCTTCATGATTTATATATAAAAATGTTTTGTTGACTTCGCACCCAGACCCCAGCCCTACCAAAAGTTCTGCCGCTTCTTATCATCGTTTGGCGTTGAGAGCGAGCAACAAATATTAATATTGTTTGTATTTCATGCGCTTTTTGCTTCTGATTTCGTTTTCAATTTTGGCATTGCAATGGAATGGGCATTCGCATGGCAGTCGCTTGTCAAATTTAATATAAATTATTGTACAAAAATCGGTACGAGTATTATGTAGTATGGAATGAGAGAAAGTTGTACGAGTGTCTTCGGGTCTCAGATTACGCACCCTCTTGTGGCACCTTCCTGTGTTCCGTTGAGCTCAGATTCAACTGAATTTCCAGGGCCTTTTTGGCCAGGATTTCCTTGGCCTTCAGGGTGGGCTTATTGCAGTTCTCCTTGTCGGCGAAATGATCGATATACTCGTCCCGCTTGCAGTAGATGCACACCCCATAGATGTACTCCTCCTCGCAGATGGTGGCATTCGTGGATCGTGCCCAGTCCGCTGTCTCCGCCTTCGGGTAGAGCTGCCCCACATAAATGTGCGATGACAAGGTATTAAAGGCGGTCGGCGCGATGGTGGTAATCGGATTATGCTCCAGATTGAGCACCTGAAGCTGCTTCAACTTGGAAAAGAGACCACTAAAATAAAGGAGAAATAAGTTTAGATATATTTTGGGTGGGCGGGCCCACTTACGCTTGAATTCGATCCAAATTGTTGAATGCCAAATGTATCTCCAGAAGCATGGGCGTGTAGTAGAACAGCTGATCCGGCAGTCGGGCAATATTGTTCCGCTCGAGGCGAAGGGTGAGTAGCCGCTTTTGGGCCTGCAGAAAGTCCTTGTGCAGATAGCTGATGTTGCTGCGAATGCCGATGTAGGCCAAGTGCTCGGACTTCCAGAACAAATCTGTCGGCACATTGTCGCCACAGTTGAAGAGCTCGAAGGACTGCAGCTCTGTCATGTGCCAGAGCTCGTCCGAGGCAAAGGCGGACATCTCGACGCTGCTGTTCTTCACATCGCAATCGATGACCAGCTGCTTGAGCTTCGATTGCTTTGCAAAGATCTGGCTGGCCACTTTGTGTATGTTCTTGACCACGATGTTGAGCTTGGTCAGATTGGCCAGAGGATGCAGGATGGTGGCCGGCAGATCGCTGTAGCCCTTCAGCGACAGATGCTTCAGCTCGAACACATTCTGGAAGAAGTTGGTGGGCAGCGTGGACTTGAAGCCCAGGATGGTGAGCTTCGATAGGCCCGGCAGATTTGTGTAGTGCTGCTGCAGCACCTCCGCCCGATCGGTCTTTTTCGGATCAAAAAAGTTGAACACCTCCAGCTCCGTGTAGTTGGTGATGCCCAGCTGACTGATCAGATTGGGGATACTCTTGGCATCGGGAATGGCACAATTCTGAATGGTCAGCGATCCAATTTTGCCCACATTCAAGGGCGGTATATAGCCAAAGCCCCTGGCATCGAAGATATGGCAGCTGATGCTGTATAGCTTTTCGCTGTCACTGTTCACCTGCAGCGTCTCACATTTGATGTCCTGATCCTGGCATTCGCACAGACTGGAATCGTTGATCAAGGCCTCACAGCCAGCCTTCGTCAGGTAAGTTAGTGTGGCATTTCCCACTTGCCACGAGGGAGAGATCGTGGCCAGGAGCAGCAGCAGCTGCAGCAGCGGCAACATCTTGAGGCGATCTTCGAAACCAAACTGATCGCTGCAAGGGAAAGAGAAGTGATTTTAAAATGGGTTTTCATAATGCCAGGCGCAGCTGCTCCCGCGGCTGTGACTCTTTTTCTAATGGTTTTCCCTGCAGGTAGCACGCATTTCTGCGTAATACACCCATTTTACACCCAAAGGCCGTCTGCTCTGCTTTGGCCATTTTTACACAAGATTTTCCCACCTGAGGCAGGGCTCAGGCACAGGCTCTGTCTGGTCAGGTATGTAAACTCCTTGGAGCCTACCTGCCTGCTGCCCACTGCCTGCCATGTTTCCCCGCTCCATTTAATGGCCCATAATTTACTACGCAACTCGCTCGATTTGTGCATAATATTAAACCATTTTGAATTCGCCTTACACAAAAAAAAGAAACGCAACAAAAAACTGCAAACAAAATGACTTAAATTGCCATTTGCGTAGCCGTTGGTGGAGTGCATTGGTGGAGAGTGGGAACTGGGGACGGGCTGCCTGAGTGCGAGATGATCTGTAAGAGGCACAAAAGTCGGCGCTCTGATAACAGTTGAAAATGCCCGACTTTACATGCGAATTGCGGCTCTGAGCGCAGCTCAAAGATGAAGAAGCGAAACTGAGACGACCCGAGGCTGGGAGCAGGGAAAAACGGGCCAGGAAACAGTGGTTCAAGATGGGTAGAAAATGTGATACTGAAATGAGAACATGGAAATGAAGCTACTTAGGATACGTACATATGTATAATAGTCTAACCTTATTTATTTCTAATTAAAAATATTATTAAATATGTTCAAATATTTAAAAAATATGCAGAAGTAGGATTCGTGGATGACGTGAATGCTATTAATGCTCTCGCTCTCTTTCTGAGAACCCAAGCTAATTTTCCTAGCCATTAAACTTTAAGGAGATTTAAATGTAAAATTTATTTCCACAGAGTTGTACTTCTTAGGGTTAAATCACACACATTACCTACTATCTGCAGAGTTTCTAGATTCAAACAAATGAAAAACAATGAAGCTTAATCTTTCCTTATGCGCGACCCACTGTGCCACATACCGAAGTTCAATGCTATCAACCTCTGTCCACAGCAGCCTCCGCCTCAGACCTATACCCATACCCATACCCAACCACATCGCCACATCTCCAACAACCAACATCCTCAATCGCAAATGTAGTCTTCTTTTGCTGTAGATACCATCTCTCCCCAGTGCTGTGCTCAAAACTGGGACTTGACCGAACCGATGGGTTGGCTGGCTGCTGCCGTGGCTTGATTTCGAACAAATTACAATTCATTCTGGTTTTCAGTTTCATTACAAATGCAAAAATGCAAAATGGCAAGCCGGCCATTATCTCTCGAGACTCTCGAGAGTCGATGGGAGTTGTCTGTCTGTCTTTCTGTCCGTCTGTGTGTCTGTCGGTCGATCTGTCCATCTGTCTGTTGATCGATGATCGCTGTGGCCTGCCGATGATCAAGTTTTGTGCTTATGCTTGTGCTCTCGCTCTCCTGTGTATCGTTTGAGGCGTACATGCGTAAGTGCCTTTGATCCCCCTACCCGCATTTATCCCCTTCCATCCAGGAGCAGTTGCATTCACAGATCGGGGCCAATGCATTTGAATTTGTCTGGCCGCCAGCCAAATCGATCGACAACCAATCAGCCCAAGTCTGGCCGGGTCCAGTCCGTCAGCCATCATGCCCAGGTATGTACAACCATGTACAGGTCTTGGTCTGATCTGACTTTGTGTCTGTGTCTGTCTCTCCGATGTGGTTGCTGATGCTGTTGCTTCTGCTGCTGCTGATGCTGCTGCTGGCAGTGGCAAACATTTCATTTTTCACGATCCGCAGTCTCGTATTCCCAAGAGCTAAATCAATAAATTACGTGACAGGCATGCAGAAAACCTGATGCCTCCAACTTTTCGGATCTCTGACTCCGACAACGACTTCTTAGTCCCGCACTCGGACTGACTGATCGCTGTTTTTGCGTTTTGGTTCGTTTTGATTGAATCAATCAAAATGTTGTGCATTTATATGAAAAATACAAAGAAGCGGGCAGCGAAGAGTGTTCCAAAATGAAGTCTGAATACTCTTGGGTTGCATTTTGGGAAGCTAAAGGAATATGGATGTATGAAATAAAGATTTAAAATTTTTTAGAATATTTCTCGGAGAGCCTCATGGTTTATCCTTCAGCTACAAAAGGTGAGGATTTATCTAGAATTTACCGAGAACCATCTAAAAAATAAATATTCGAGTTATTTTCTGCCTTCTTGTATTATCTAGGAGACATACAATATTATTTTATTATTCTTTTCAGATTTTATTTGATCTATAAAATATCCGTACAAAGTTCTCCTGCTTATACATTGGGTATGATAGGCCCATTTTATTCTTTTAGGATTTATTCATTTGCCTTATTTATGATATTTTCTTTAAGCTACAAATTTCACCATAAAATCTGCCATACTCTCCCATATTTAGAGTATTCGGGAAAAAATAACATGAAGCATACATACTTACAAACATATATGTACATATACATATATGTATGGCTTGCAGATCTTCTGGCGCTGCCATCACATAAATTATTATTATGGCCTGCCCATTGGCCAGAGACCAGAGATACATATTTTCTCTTGCCCTGCCACCGAGGTAAATTCACATTAAATTTGATTGGTTTCCATTTGTTTGGCACAGGAAATGCTCAATAAAGTTCTTAACTCGATTTAATTAACTTTGACAAATTGAACTCTGTGGAAAATGCTATTTTTGCGTAAAATAATCAAATTAAATCGCCCAGGAAAAGTCATTGCAAAGAGTTCTCAGTGCCATAGCTGCTACGGCTGCTACTCCTTCAATTAGTAATAAATAATTTGAGTTGGTTGAAAGTTTTGCGTTTGGGCTAAGCGATGCATAATCCATGAAAGGGCGCCAGCAAAGTTCAGGAAGCCAAACCCAGGCAACTGGAACTCAAACCGAACCGAAGCGAACCTCTGGAGCCAGAAAGTAGAAGCCACATTGGTGCTGCCTTTTGGCATCAACTACTTTTGCTTTTGCTCCATTGTACATCAAAATCTTCATTGATTTTGATTTCTTGTACTGGGGAAAATCGCCTTAGGCTAAAACTTTTACACCCCTTCCCCCGACACACTCACACACACACACAGCAAAGTATTTTCGTTGAACGTTTTCGAGAACGGGGAAATGTATTTACCCCCAGAAAAAGAACAGAGAACGGGGAAAAGTATTTACCGTTTTCAGCCACAGGACAAGCAAATAAATGGTCATAATCCTGCCCAGACAAAAGGTCCCTGTCCTGTGCTGCTACGGTTCCTGCTTCTCATAACTCAGGATGTGTCTGGACTGGGTGTGGCGTACTCTTTCCTGACTTCTGTGTGTGTGTGTGTGGGTGGTGGTGGTGGCGTCTCTTATGCGTTTTACATTTGATTTATTCCACATGCAAATTGTGGCCGTCTACTATACGGAAAAATTAAGTTGTACTCCAAGGTTTTATTCCTTTTATTCCAAGAAACGTTTTTCGTTTCGCTTCGACTAAATAATAATTCGCTTCAAATTGGAATGCGCACGTTCCACAAAGAAATACAAACGAGCCAGAAAAATACTCGTATATATAAAACCAAAGCATGGCCTAAGGCAACCCAGGCCCAACTCTCTCTCTCTGCTGCGCACTCTTTTGTCCTGGGGCCCAACCCATTCTATGCCCCATCCGGCATAAATGCATGAAATTGAATACCAGGCAAAAGCATTTTTGACATGAATGTTGATTGTTGGAAGCAACAGAGAACTCTACTCGGGAGTAATTGAGAACGACTCCATCATCTCTATTTGGCATTTGGTATTGTAGTTCTGCCGTTGTGTTCTGTTCTGTTCTGTTTATTTATGTGTTTGCGCCTATTTATTTATTTTAATTAAAAGGGCACGTGTTGCTGTTTTCTTGTTTTCTTTTTGCCACGGCAACATTGCGCCCTGAGAAATGGTTGGCATAGGCTGCGGGAAGGGTGTTGCGAGGTGTGGTGTGTTCAGGTAGGGGTGGGAACGGGTTGTGGCAAGTGCAATTGGAAACTGTATCAATGACAACCCCAATACGAAGGGCAAAAGTAGAAAGGAATAAATAAAAAGACGTATTGAATCGTACTTTTACAGCATAAAAGAAATAACCTTTAAATTAAAATTTGAATACTCTGAACAGCAACCAAATCTGAGCTTCTGTTTCTTTTTGTCACAGCACAACTTTTCCCAGTACCAATGACTTCATCCATTTACCATTCCACTGGCTTTTCCATTGCCTGTTTACCCACCCCTAATTCCATTCTATTGTTCATTCAATCGAATAGGTTGCAACGTAACTGCCATCAAATGGACATTAAATGAGTGTCAAAACAAACAGAAGACCGTAAACCGAAGACCAGGCCAGGCCAGATCTGGGCGTGGATAATTCCACTGACTTAGCCAGAAAGAAATGGCTAGCAAATAGTAATAAACTAGGAACGGGCAACAATCAGAGCAACTAATTAAATGCCACAACCCCCAGAAACGAGGAAACGAGCCACCAGACAAAGTCAAAGTCAAAAGTTTTCCCCGACACTCGTTTTCATTACGAGTTAATTTGAATGTAAATGAACAGAGAGCTGAAAGGAGAACTCTGCCTGCGAGTGTGGGGGGCAGATAAAATGTTTGGCTAATGTTTCAATTAAGAAGACAGTGAAAAATTTAATTTTCTTTCATTTGGCCCTGTGGAGAGAGAATGAGAATTACTGCGAGAGAAACACTTGCCACCCAAGCTAGTAGTAGTGAACCCCCAGAGACCCCTCGAGATTGGAGTTGGAGTGGATTTTGCGTCTGGTTGTTGTCCCGGGTGATGTTCACAAGGAATTTCAATGTTCCACTCATAATTTCATATAATTTCCATTAATTGTATGAAATTAATGCCCATGGCTGAGGCTGAGACTGAGGCTCAGGCACAGTCCACCGTCCGTCTTCATCTTCATCTCCCATCTTCGTCTTGATACTTGTTG